CCCAAAAGATGCATTGGGGTTTATTTTCAGGGAAACACAGGTAACATGGGTAAGTCGAGAGACGGTGGGATGGATTTAATGGAGACAGGCCATTCCGACACGCAGCGGCACCAGCAGCAGACAGAGGTGCGTTGGAATCCCTTGCCTCCCTCCCACCCAACTCTGCCTGCTGCCAGTGCCGCCTCACATCAGAATCACCTGCCTCCTCTCGTGCCTCTGCTTGGAGGGCCAGGTTGGTGGTCGCAGCACTGGGACTCACCTGTGCTGCGTGGGCTGTGGCTGCTGCCATACACCATCTGCCCCTGCATGCTCTCCGCCTCCTGTGCTCCCCCCCCAGCTGACGAAGATCTTCACTGGTGCTTATTTTGGGGATAGGGCTTATATTAGGAGCATGCTAAAAATCAGGCTAGGGGTTATTTTTCTGGTTGGGTCTTATTTTTGAGGAAACGCTCTGTGTGTGTGTGTGTGTGTGTGTGTGTGTGTGTGTGTGTATTTGTATATCTAATCTTAAAAATATCTATATTTGCACAGAAAGCCAAAGGAATTAATTTGTTAGCAGGTTTGGTTTTTTTGCCTGTGTCATGCTTTCAAAATTTCAATTATTCCTATGCCCAAAAGTTGGAAACTCATGTTTTCTGTTGGTAATTTGAACTCTATAATTCTATGCTTTCCCACACTTGAGAATATTAGCAACATATTTAAAGTTATTACCTGCCTCATCTTCAGCAAAAGAGATGATGTATTGATAATAGTTATTGATAAGTCCAGGAAACATACATGTTTGGCCTGTTCCCATGCATATTTCATTGTACTCCCATTCCCCAGTTTTGTGATTTTCTTTCAAGGACATGAGACGTCTGAAAGATGAAAAAAAACAACACTAATTGGTATGAAAGAAATCAAGGAGAACAGCTTTTAACTATCCTACTCCAATTCAGAGTAATATATAAAAGCTAATAGTTTACTGAGCAAAGAGAGAACAAAATCAATCCCTTAACCAGATTACTTTTCAACTGAGGTATGATTAACATCATTTATTTGCATATAGAACAAGGTAGAAATTATAGTATAGTTAAAGTTAGACTTTATTCTAAAAGATTAAGAGTGTAATCAATATTTAATTATTCATCTTAGAAGGCTTAGCTTTCTAAGCATTAACCTTATTTGCACCTTAACTGTAAGTGCTAGAAACTGAATTTAAAAACATAAAAGGTTGGCAGTTGTTCACTTTAACAAGCACATCTGTTATACTATAGGACTTTTAAAATAGTTGCAGACAAATCCCATAGATATGTACCAATTCTTATTAAATACAGAGAATCCTCACTTACCAATCGTTTGAAGTTAAGACTGTGCTGAAAAAGGAGATTTATGTCTGGCCCTGGAAGTTGTGGCCATTGCCGCATCCCTGCAGTGTTGTGATGGTGATTTGAGCCATGGTGGTGCAGTGGTTAGAATGCAGTATGGCAGGTTAAATCACTGCTCATTCCATGAGTTCAGTTCTGAATGGCTCAAGGTTGACTTAGCCTTCCATCCTTCCGAGCTCAGAAAAATGAGAACTCAGATTGTTTGGGGCAATATGCTAACATTATAAACTACCTAGAGAGGACCGTAAAACACTATGAAGCAGTATATAAGTCTAAGTGCTATTGCTATTTGAGCACTTGGTAATTAGCATGCACTTATGTACAATGGCTGTAGCCATCACATGATCAACATTTGCTGCCATGAACCATGATTCGGCTAGGACTCTGACTTCATTTCTAACAATGGTAGTCCAGCTGTGTCTTTTGGATTGTCAGCCTCAGGAATCTTCAGCCATCATTCATCTGAGGAGGTTGAGCAATCACAGGCATTTCCTGGTTAGCTGGAGCAGTTGGATTATGAGGTAAAATCCCCAAGCCCAAGTCTTAACACATGAGCAAAGCAATGCCATTCAATGAACCTCCTCACCAGAAAATTAGGATAAATCCTGACTGCAGCCAGCTGCCTGCAGAAAGATTTCTAAAGATTATGTACCATATTTTACGTAGTATAAGACGCACCAGAGTATAAGACGCACCAAGGTTTTGAAGAGGAAAATTAAAAACAAGTTTTTGCACTCTGCAAACCTCCCAAAAACGGCCCGTTTGTTCCTCAAAAAAAGGCATGAATAGGCTTTAGGGGGTTTACAGAGTGCTCCGGGGAAGTGGGAGGGGGGCAAAAACGAGCAAAAAATGGCCCATTTTTTGCAAAAACGGGCTCATTTGTTGTTTACAAAAAGGGCATTTGAAACCTTCATAGCCTGTTTCTGACAAGCAAAGCCAATGGGAAACTGGCAAGAAGTCACAAGTTGCAGCCATTTGACATTGTGCTTAATGACCTGCAGTAAATTGCTTCATGACTGCATCTGAAACTCACATCATAAGTTGGTATGGTGACAAGATGTTTCACCTTACATCCACATCGCTTAGTGACAGAGTTGCCAATCCTAATTGTAATTGGTAAGTGAGGACTACTTGATTCAGGTATAATTGTTAAAGTTAACCATATATGAGACACAGGGCTATATAAATTATAAAAATCAACTAGATTCTGAATCCAATTATTAAATTGCATATCAAAATATTGCTGTAGGTTTAACACTTATGATATCATAGCAATAGCATATAAAGCTTTTTAAAATGAACATCCAGTGTCTGAACAGTGACATTTTACTGAGATATTTTGTGTTACATGTTTATTAGTGGTTCATCAATAGTTCATCCAATTGTTAATATTTATACACATGTACATTCATATAGCAGAGACATAACATGATGGACATATAAACTACAGTAGAGCAGTGATAGATGGCATTCTACTAAATGCCAGGAAGAAGCTTATCAGAAAAGCTTAAAGCCATCTTAAATACTGTAACACAGGATGCCATCTAATTCATCATTTACCTAATAGCAGGCCTACTGTCACTTACCCACTCATAAAATCACCAAATATGTAGAGCCCATTTAAGTTTGGAGACTCACAACCTCGATAAACGTAACCTCCTGTAACTGATTTCCCCATTTTGTGGGGATAAGCATATATTGGAAGGACATCATCTGCAGAAGAGAAAAAAGGGAGTATCATACATACAGTATATCATGCAAAGAAAGTATTTTTATAATCAAGTATTAACTTTTTATAGGTATCAGATATAAAAGAGAACAAAACAATAATGAAAATATTTCCACCCATACATTATTTACTTGTTAGTCAAACCTCATAATTACCTAAAGAAGAATTCAAGCAAAGTTTTTTGTCGTAACAGCTGAATCCTTCTCTTGCTCTCCAGCCATAATTTTTCCCTTTCTCCACAATGTCAATTTCTTCAAATTTATTCTGTCCTACATCACCACAGAAAAGCCTCCCTTTCCCTTCCTTTGTGTTGGGATCACCCCTATCAAAAGAACAACGCCACATATTCCTTGCCCCATAAGCATAGACTTCCGGTCGGGCTTTTGATTCATTGATGAAGGGATTGTCAGGAGGGATTTGATAGAGAGGCCCAACATCATTGTTATCCACGCTGATTCTGAGTACTTTGCCTAACAATGTTGACCTGTTGAACACAAATAAAGAACTAGTAACAGTACAAGAAAGAAAGGGTTTCAATCATTTATACAAAACATTTAAATTCTTCCTATCCTTCACTTCATAAAATTTTTCCCATTCTTGTTCAAGATTTTCAGAAGAAATGCTGTTAAAAAAATATTGGGATGGAGGGGTTCTTATTGCTTAGTTGTATTATTTAAGTTGCATTTTCAATCGCTAGATAAATCAGGGATCGGCATTTTTGGTAACCAAGGGGCACACTTCACATTTTTTGAAGCAGCAACTTTGCAAACTATAGCATCTGATATTTGAACTGAGTCAGAAATGAACCACAGTAAGGGAGGGAGGAGCCACATCATGATGTTACAACGTGCAGTCTTGATACTCTGAGACCGCCGTTGACACTTTTGCTGCTGGGGGGTCCATTGAGACCTAAATCATCCCGTAGAGATGGTGATCAGGAAAACAAAGCCTTACTGGTCTCAGGGATATTGCAAAATCCCTGATAGACTCAAGGGAAGTGCTTCAAGCCTGCGGTAAACAGGCAGCCCCTAGGCTGATGAAATCGGGACGCTCCGGAAGGAAGGAAGTGAAAAGAGAAAGTGAGNGCTTCAGTCCATGTGGATCAGAGGGCTACACACTGCAAAAGAGCTGTCCCACTCAGCAAGTCCTCCAGGGAACTTGCCTTTCCAGCCTGTATCCTCTGCTCCACCGTTGGGCTCCTCTGGGTTGACTTTAGTAGTCGAGGAAGTTCCAGTTTGAAGAAACTGGCAACATCTGAATGCACCCTCTGCAAAGAAAGAACATTAATCATAGAGATCGTACCAAGACTGGTTTGGCTGGGGCTGTATATAAAGTGGGCCTTTAATTCTGTGACCTGTCAATAGCCCTGACTGTGACCCGAACAGACACAATCATGTCATGAAAGGCAACAGATACTGGTCTGTACATCGAATTTTGCATAATAACCAGGATATGTCTAGGCGCCAGGCTCTGTCTCTCTTTTCCAAAGCTGTTCCAAGGCTTCCCAAGACTTTTTATTTAATTTCAGTGATGAAAATGGTTTGGGACACAGAGCAGGTGGGAATTGCTTGACTATGGCCTGTCAGCTACAATCTTGCCAATCTCATATTCTGAAAGTTTCTGACAAACTGGACTTCGCTCCAGCAGTCCCCTTCTTGACATTGCCCTCTACTCATTGATGCTCAGTTTCTCTGTCTTTTCCTCCTGGAAAAGGGAATCACAGTCATAAAAATACTTGATTATTATGACTGATGCATACCAAAATAAAACAAGAAGCAAATGAAGAATCCAATACTGTACTATCCTTACAACCTAAGCCATAGGGATGTTGGATTTGAAGTAGGAAAATATTTTTTTTCACCAAACATAAAGATAGTTGTAGAACCTGTTATGTATAGAATTCTAATCTGAATAACTAAACCTAGAAATCCAATCCCTGCAAATTTTCATACTTTGCTTTTTTATAATTCCTTGGGTACCCTTAAAAACATAAAAAAAATACATAAGGACACCACACGGTATAAACATTTCTCTCCGATAGATTATGCAGCACACTAAGGGAAACATAGTTATTAGAAAAGAAGAATTATGGATATTAATAGTGTCATGAGAAAAAAAATCAAATGTTTATAAACCCTTAGTTTTTTATGTCAGGGTTTAATAGAATGGATTTTGAAATTGAGCAAATTTTTTAGAATGTTTCCCCTTTCCTTCATATTTATATGCACTTCTCCAATGAACTGTAATAAATAGTACCAATATTAACATCTTGTTTTGATTTTTATAGTCTGCTTAAATCAACTCACTAATGAAATCCTGAACTTCTCATTCATGCCAATTGAAAACTCTATTTACTGATATGTTCTCCTTTTCTCTAGTATTTTTCTTTTCTTTTTCCTTTTCTATTTTTGTATTCTGCCTCCCCTCCCCTCAAAATTTCTTAATCATGAAAGAGTAATTCTAGAAGGTAACAATTACTTCTAAAAGTAATTCTGGGACACTCTAGAACAACAACAAAGATGATTAGGGGATGGAAGGATAAAATATATGAAGAACAGTTGCAGGAACTGGATACGTTTAGTTTAATGAAAAGAANGGCTTGATTATCTCTTATGAGTCTGTCTCTGTAAGTGCTGCCACCGTTTCTCTGCCCTATGTTGCCTGGCGTCAGGGACAAACTCCCTTTGATCTTCCCCTCTGCTCCATGCCTCAGGCACCTCCTGGTGGCCAACCAGCCTCTCTGGTCCCTGCTCTGAGTCAGAACCCTGCCCAGGGTCCTCCACGTCTTCCATAGTAGATTCATAGGTTTCCTCGCTATCGGAGTCCATTGGCAGCTCCAACAGCTCCTGTTGGGCCACAACACACATATATATACTTTAAGATATATGAAAGAACAAGAGGGAGGATTAGAAACTCAAGGGCAGTAGTATAAGGTATGTGTAAACAATGTGAAAAAAATAAAAAATGTAATAACCAAGTAATAATATGTCTATTTGTATCAAAATGTATGATACCCAGGTATCACATTATTCACGCATTGATATGTATAAAAATATTTTTAAAAACTTGATTGAAAAATTAAAAAGCTATTATACTTTTATTTTTTTAATTTATTTTTAAATCTTGAGGCCAGGGCTTATCCTTCCATGCCACCATCACATCAGATTAAGCTGACACACTTATCTCTTTTCCACATGGGAAATTCCACTACAATCTTTCCACCCCACTTGAAAACTTTCCACAGAACTTGCCTTTCTACTAGCCATTGCCTGCTTGTCCATTGGCCTCTACTCATCGATGCTCCATTGGCACGAGCTCCCTGCCTGGAGTAGCCTGGAGTGCCAAGAGGCAGGCTGCAAGGAAATCAAGGAATCCTGAGCCGGCTAGCTCATCTGCAACACGCATTTCCCAAAGACATCCACTAACCTCAAGCAGTAACACTGTACTTGAGCAACCCTGGCCAAATTCCACTGGCTTCCTCCAGTGAATATCTGCCGGTTTCCTTTCATTCCGCATCATAAGGATATTTAGCTGCATTCAGGCTGCCACTGGACCTAACAAAGCTGGGCCCAAGGCTTATCCTCCCATGCTGCATCAGACTAAGCTGCCACCAGGCTTAGTCTTGCACCACCTACACATTTGACAAATCACATACATACACAGAAGCACACTGTGGGCTACATCCATTGTGGGATGGTCCACACTGCTCCGTCACAGTCTCAGTCACACTTCATCCATTTAGAATCATGTCCCGGTTTCCATTCATGGATTTCCACACAGTGTCCATTGGCCATCTTCGCCAGGTCCGTCTTCCAGACCTCAGCCTGCTTCAGTGCAAGGGATGAGAGGGCTTCAACCCAAAAAATCCCCCTCCCTCTTATCCACAATCAAAGACATCCACCCACCTCAGTCCGGAACACGGCACCTTTGCAACCCCTGCCAAATTCCCTCAACTACCTCCAATGAATATCCACCGGTTGCCTTTCATTCTGCATCATAAGGATGCTTAGCTCCATTCATGGTGCCACAAGACTCAACAATGCTGGACAAGGGCTTATATTTCCATGCCATCCACACACCAGCTTCTCTTTTGCACCACAAACACATTCAACACTTATACGCATACACCTGATCACACTGCGGGCTACATCCACTTTGGGATGGTCTACATCGTCCATGTGCACTCTCAGTCCTTTCATTTCATTCATTTTTCATTTACTTTATTTGTATGCCACCCTTTTCCCTGAGGGGACTCAGGGCGGCTCACAATTCAGGGGAAGGGAAGGACAAACAAGTTACAAACATACATCCATCACAAACATCCAAACATCCGTTACAAACATCCTACTCCATCCATTCAGAATCATGGCCTGGCTTCCATTCATGGATTTCCACACAGAGTCCATTGGCCAGCATTCGCTAGTTCTATTTTCCAGACACCAGCCTGCTCCAGTCCATGCAGATCAGAGGGCTACATGCTGTAAAAGAGCTGTCCCACTCAGCAAGTCCTCCAGGGAACTTGCCTTTCCAGCCTGTATCCTCTGCTCAACCGTTGGGCTCCTCTGGGTTGACTTTAGTTGTTGAGGAAGTTCCAGTCTGAAGAAACTGATAGTATCTGAATGCACCCTCTGCAAAGAAAAGACATTAAACATAGAGATCGTACCAAGACTGGTTTGGCTAAGTGGTGTATGTAAAGTGGGCCTTTAATTCTGTGAGCTGTCAATGGCCCTGACTGTGACCCGAACAGACACAATCATGTCATGAAGGGGAACAGATACCGGTCTGTATATGGAGTTTGGCTTAATAACAACATCAGTCTAGGCACCAGGCTCTGTTTCTCTTTTCCAAAACTGTTCCATGGCCGCGCTTGGGGGGCGATTGGAACAGGAAACTGTCCCAAGGGCCTTCTGGGTGGGTTTTAGTCAGTGGACTTGAGCTTTAGGAGCCGGATTACCCTTAAAGTGAAAGATGGAGGACATAAAAATAAAAGCAAGTGGATGAAAGGGGATGCACTTGGGTGATCCTTCACTGGAGGACATTTGCTAGGTCAGCCTTGCAAAAAATTCCTCATGTGCCACATCACCTTCCTGACACCTCATCAATCAATCAACGAAATGGCTGTATATAGGCTGCCATTCCAAGGACTGTGGAAGGCCNAGGACAAGAAACAATGGATGGAGACTAATCAAGGAGAGAAGCAACTTAGAACTAAGGAGAAATTTCCTGACAGTGAGGACAATTATAACCAGTGGAACAGCTTGCCACCAGAAGTTGTGGGTGCTTCATCACTGGAGGCTTGTAAGAAAAGACTGGACAGACATTTGTCTGAAACAGTATAGGGTCTCCTGCTTGAACAGGGAGCTGGACTAGAAGACCTCCAAGGTCCCTTCCAGCTCTATTCCAAAATCTTCATAAATGTTCTCTCCTAGGTTCCCTGCAGTGTTGTGGTCTTAACTGGGGCAACCAGTGGAGAAACCCTACCAGTCAAGTCCTCTAGAAGACGGGCGGTGGGCTAAGAGGGGCTGTTTCCCCCTCTCCTCACCCCACAGTTTGGGCTGGGAGCTGGTTGGATGAGTGACCCCCATTACCAATCCTGCCTGTCCCGCAAGATGGAAGAGACACCCGGGAGGCAGAAGCGGTGCCCTCCGTGGCTGCTGGGCGATCCCCGATTCAGAAACGCTTGAAGGCGAGGTCGTCTACCGGGCAAGAGGGTGGACTGGATGACCTCGAGGGTGCCTTCCCACCCGCCTGCCAAAGAGGGCGCCGTGGGTCCTCAACGGGCAACCCGGCGGCTTTTCTTTTAAGGGAGAGGCGGGCAAAGGCAGGTCCCCGTCGAACAGGTGCAGCGGTCCTTCGGGTCCCGGGAGGCGCATCTCCTCCGGAGCGCACGGAGGAGCCGCGGCTTCGGGAGCTCCAGCTCTGCCCGGTCCTGGCTCCAGGGCAGCCTTCCATCCCTCGCGGCAGAGTCGGAGGGCGTATCCGTGCCGTGGGCAGGGCGGGGGACCGGAGCGCCCCGAGAAGCACGGGTCCAAGGCCAAGCTGAGGGGTCCACGGAGGTCATCCATCCCACCCCCGCCAAAAGAAAAACCCTAGCCACGCCGAAGGGAGCCCGAAAGGGACGGCAAGAAGCGCCCCGCGCCCCGTCCGGGGCTCAGCCGCTTCTCGGGGCTCCCCCAGCCCACCAGAGTCCAAGAGGGCCGCGTGGGAAGCACAGGTGGGATCACCCCGTGGTGCCTTTTCCCTCCCCCTGGGCCTTTTTCCTCTGCGGAGCCCAGCGGGACAAGCTGGGGAGTGGAGCATGGGACCTTGGAACTCGCTTTGCGGGTCATAAAGGTGGAAAAAGTGAAAAAAGAGGAGAAGAAAAAGAGCCAAGCGGCGCTCTCCACCGGTTGCACTTCGGCCTGCGAAAGAGGAGGGGGAGAGGCGGGGGAGGAGCGCGCGTGTCTTTCTCTCAACGGGCCACGCCCCCCCGGCTATTGATTGGCCCTCGGAGCCCCCAGTTTTCCCGCGCTACGGAGGGCCCCGCCCACCGCGGTCACCTGACTTCCCCTCGACCCGCCGGCGCCCTCGAGTGGCTGGACGCGCGCGGCGCCTTTCGGGGGGCGGCTGCACCGCCTGAAAGAACGGCGGTGGGCGGGGGGCCCTGCAAGTCGCAGGGGGCGGCGACGGGAAGAGCCTCCGCCAGGGCGGGGCCGGCGAAGGGGGCGCGGCCGGCTCGGGCCAATCGGCGCGGGCGCCCTTTTTTTGGCTCGCGGGAGGGCGGGGCCGGTGGGCGTCCGTTAAAGGGGCGGGGCCGCCGCTCCCCTCCCCCCCCCCGACACCCCCTCTCGCTCGCCTGGCGTCCAGCGGGCTGTCCGGTGGTCGAAGGGCCGGAGGAGGAGGAAGAGGAGGATGACGGCCGAGCTGCAGCAGCAGGGACAGGAGGAGCGGGCGGCCGGCGGGGCGGCGCAGGTGAGGCAGCAGCGACCCCCCCCCCGGGCGACCCTCCCCACAACAACCCCGCCAGGTGGGCCGGGAGGGCGCCTCCCCTCCTCCCCTAGGCCAGAAGCCTCCCCCCCCCCCCCCCCCCCCAGACACCCCCTCTCGCTCGCCTGGCGTCCAGCGGGCTGTCCGGTGGTCGAAGGGCCGGAGGAGGAGGAAGAGGAGGATGACGCCCGAGCTGCAGCACCAGCAGGGACAGGAGGAGCGGGCGGCCGGCGGGGCGGCGCAGGTGAGGCAGCAGCGACCCCCCCCCCGGGCGACCCTCCCCACAACAACCCCGCCAGGTGGGCCGGG